ATTCGCATGTGCAGGCTGTGCTTGGGTCCATCCACCCGCTCCAACTTCTCAAAATGTTTCCTAGCATTACGGATATTGATGAGAGTGGCTGCAGATGCTGGAGAAAAAAAAAAAAAGACATGGATTTTTATTTTTTATTAACTGATTTGGTTTCTTGAATGCACCGCAGAGAAATGTCTTCTTCGCTACTTACGAATGGAGGGGTCCGACATGATGACCATGACATATGTGTTAGAGGTGAAGACGTCAATGAAGGCCGCAAAGTTGGAGTTCCTCACTTCCATGCTTTGGAAAGAGGCCGCGAGTTTACTGAATAAAAAAAAAAAGAAATGTAAAAAAATCAGAAACATAAAGGTTCAGCAGGCGATGTGTGGAGCGACTGGAGTGTTTTTGCAGCGTGAACTTACCTACAGCTGAGTTTGAACTGTTTGATAATGTTACTGATCTTCTCAAACCGATGAGCGTCACGCTGCTCTTTGCACTGATAGTGGGAGATCACCTGCATTCACAAAACAACAAAAAGCAAACAAACTCTCATTACTAGATCCAGATTTCCCGCTCAGGGCACCGTCGTGCCGGAGGAAGCGGTTGCTCTCACCAGGAAAGTGGCTCTCTCAAACAGAAGCACTTCATCTGCCTCTATGATCTGCGCAAAATTTCTCAGGTTTGTCTCCAGCTGCTGGACGTTTGGGATGAGCTGGTACACTATGCTGGACCAGGCCTGCAAAGACAGTTAGAAAGTATGTCTTACAGCGTCGGCTTTATTCGCAGACATCTGAACGTGAAACTGGTCAACCGTCTCAACCTTATACAGGGTTTCATCCCAGATTGATGTCCGGAAGCACGTGCAAGCCAGAGGACGGGACAGTCTCTTCAGATCTTCTTCACGCTCCTTAAAGATCTGTAAAAACATGGACAGGGTTTAGATTTTAGTGCTCCTCCTCACTCAACATCAATAACAAATATAAATATAGTATATAAGTATAAGAAGAAAAATGACACAAATATAGAAACATGTCAATTCAAATTGCCTTTATTCTACATCATCATCATCATCATCTAAAGCAGATGTGTAGATGCCGGCAGCCTAATTGTAGTCACATCAAATACAGCATCTTTTTATGTATCTACACTATTTCTGTTAGAGGTACATTTTTGTGTCATGACTGGTGGATTTATGTCACACACATGATTTCACTGCGTTAGTTGTATGTAATGGAGGGTTAATCTAGTGAGCCTTAAAATAAAATATTATAAAATGGTTCAATGCCACTTTATTCTCATGCTGGTAACAAATCTGCCTCAAGATTGTCCGCTTCAGGTAAAATTACTTTAATACAGTTCAACCACTAAGAGTGGGGTTTCAAATGTGTGTTACTGGTGATACTGTGAACACAAGAGAGGGAGACTGTTAATTAACAATCAGATAAAAACTCTTAAGCTTACCAAATCTCTCTGGTCTTCCTGCACCAGATCCATTTTGTGAACGAGGCAGAACACTTTGGCATCGGGGGAGTTCTGCAGGATGGCCTCCAGACACGACTGGTAGTAGTGCATGTCTTTCTCCAGCTCACGGCTCTCAACGTCGAATACATAAATAAGCACCTCTACATTTCTGAAAATGTTGTCCCTCTGGCTGGTGAAGTAGTTCTCCATGAATGTGTCCTGTCTGATGGGTAAAGGAAGCACAGGGCAGCGTTCCACAGATTAGGGGAAAGTCTGTGAACTGTCAAAGCTAGTGCAAAGTTAAGCTAATGAACAAATGTACTTTACCCTCCACAGTCCCACAGGTTTAGAACCAGATTGCCAAGAAACCTTACATGGGAGTGCTCCACGTCAACTACATTTCACAAAGGATAAAAAGATTCATTAAAAGATGCGATTGAAGATACATCTTTATGTTGCTCTCTTATTTAAAGCAGTCTTACTTGTAGCTCCAAGGCGGCGTGTGTCTCGAGCTATGTAATTGGCAAAGATGATTGATCTCATACTGGTCTTTCCAGACCCACTTTTTCCCATCAGTAACACCTGAAAGCACAAATTCAACAGATTAGACCATCACTGAAGTCCATCCTCGTCTCTACTCTCATGACCTGCAGTGCAAGAAATATTCAGACTCTTTCCATTTATTCATTTAATGGTTCAACGGTCTGAAATGTTGCTTCAAACTATTCTCTGCACTGCCAGGAATATGAGGGAGAAATACCAAATCTCATCATTGTATTTTGATTTAAATCAACTGTCACATTTAAAAAGAGTTAAAAAATGAACCTTGAAAAGCCTACCAAGCCACTGAGAGAATGAACCAAATGAAGGATTGATTTTTCTCAAAGTGCAAAACAGAACTTTCCTACAATGTTGTTACATGTCAGGTGTAGACACTCTCCACCTTCACCTTCATTATGGGACAGATCTAATGAAACACTGCATATCAAACTGTGTATTTTCCATTATTGTGGTGGGTCTGACTACAGCTCCCAGGATCATTGGCCCTAAATGTGACACACTGCAGCTGCATTAAATGGACACAGAGAACAACACTTCAGTAAGTGACACATACTGATCGATTAGCCTTTTACCTTTTTCTTCATTGCTGTGCTTGACATCCCCCTCAGCAGGCACGATGCAGTCAGGTGACTTTAGTGTGAGTCCGCAGCAGCTCTGCTCTTCCTCTCCTTCAGCTGCACAACAAACACAAACATTTCCACGCAGCTGTCAGTGACTGGAGCACAAACACAACCGACAGGACGCGTTCAGACACTTCCAGTACCAACGAACCTGTGGACCAGCCATGAGCCAACTCCACATACGAGAATATATCCGCAGTTTACTAACTTTACTGAAACTCGTTTCCTCTTTTTTTTTTTTTTTCCTCCCCCGGATAAACACCTAAGCTAATGCTAAGCTAACTAGCTCGACACACAGTCCAGATAAGTGTCATGTAGCTTAGCCGAGCTACACGGAGAGCTAGCTGCGTTCAGATCCAGCAGTGTGTCGTCTACTCACCCCGACGGAGCAGAACAGCTACTTATATTCAAAGAGCTTCTCACTTCAGCTTGAGTCTGCGGGAGAGAAGAACAGTTGTGTACATTACTTGGAAGAAGCAGGCAGTGAAGTCAAGATCAGCTGCTTCCTGTTTACGACAAGGTCACATGATGACAGCAGCTCTGTTACAGAAACAAAGCGACAACAAGTACAATCAATAAAAATCAATCAATAAATAAGACGAGGTCAGCGGAAAGGTCAAAATATGTGTTAAAATATTTTTGGTGTATTATTTGTAAATTTAAATGTGAAACTGTGAACATGTAGGCCAAGAGTGAGGATATTTATTGACAAGAAACAACTAAAGGCTTTTAAAAGGAGTGTGTTCACCTTTATTTTAAAGGTGAATATGTTAAAAAACAATTAATAAAGTTAATTCATCTACTTACTCACCTACAAACTAAAATAAATAACAATCCGAAATAGTTTTGTTAAATGTCTTCCTGTAGATCCTGATTTAGTGGTTGTCACAAATAAATAATAATTACTATAAATAATACATTTTTACAATGTGTGTCTCACACATTAAACACATTAGGTCTTAAGATGTGAAAATAAATTAATATCCTTCGGAATAAAATTTAATTAAAACAGATTGTATGAGGAAGTAAAAATCAACAAGCCAATATTTAGTGTTGTGAAGTAAACAGTGCTATCACCCCTGCCCAATGATGTAGGGAGACATCCTTTAAAAAAACACTGTTATTATTAATAGTGATAGTTAGAACAGATACCCTTAATATTTGTAAAATCACATTAATTCCGTTTACATATCAGAGTATAATGTAGCAGTTCAACACAATGACCACTAGATGGCAGTAAACAGTTATGATAATGGAGAGATTAAAGCTGAGGCTGTATTAGTAGAGCTCTTATTATTAGAGGTCACACATTCATGGTTAAAGTCGGAACTGGATACTGGACTCAAAGATGGCGCCCAAACTTGTCTTTCTTTCTTTTCTTTTTTTAAAAAAAAAAATATTGTTTTTCCCCTATTGGACAGGACAGCTGAAGGTGGACAGGAGGGGTCGGGGGCCCAGCTCCACCAGGTGAGCCACCGGGGCCCCCATTTCTTTCTTTCTCTTTCGATTGTTGTTTTATTTTGATTTTCACCGGATGTGTCGATGTGGTATTTCTTTATTGCTGTAAACTGTGCAGTAACAAACAACAACACACTGCTGTCCCACTAACTTCTGTAACTCCCATTCAGCATTTATATTGATATAGAGTAGTAGTACACCGGCTTTAACAGTGTGTGTGTGTGTGTGGGTTTATACATCCATGGGTCACATCTGGATCAAAGTGCACATTTGACCAACAGTCTGTCAAAGGAAAGAGACCAGTGAGATAAATAAGCAGTAGTGAGATATTCTATACTGTTTACTGAGCTGTCCTTCTTCAAATTCTTCATATTTATGTACATATTCTTAATACCATGCCCATCGCAGACTAATAACCTTCCCAAATGTCACTGGCATCTCTCACTGAACATGGTTGTGTTTTTTCTTGCACAGAAATAGACGTTTTAGATTCCACAAGGATGGATCAGTTGATTTCATCTGCATGCAGTGGAGCAAGATATTTGAAAAGAAAAAATTGAAGTAAGCACTTCCCCTAGAAGGAAACTATAGTTACCTAGAGGGACACAGCAGAAACAGAAAGGGCAGCTGATTTGGACCACTTGTTTACCAGTAATGTCATGGTCAGACCTGTAATTCTTAATCAGCTGTTAATCTTTTGGTTCTCTGAGGATGTTAGTTAGATGGCGTTTATTGTATCCAAACATTGGTACCTACATAATGTCGATAAATAATACCCACTGTCTGACAGCTGGAAGTGGCAGTACTGCAATATCTGACTATGTTTGGTAGCTCATTTTCACTACAGATAGAAGAGATTTATATGAAAATACAGAAAATTATAAATTGATTTATTGAAAAGGCAAAGAGATAAAAGTATTATAAAATTTTATTTCATACTCACTGTATGTAACCCCTTCCCAAATGATCAGTGAAAATCCTGAAGATGACCAGACAAACACACGGACTTAACATCCGATACATCAAATCAACCCAACAGTAAAGGGGGAAGGTCTTTAACTCTTTGATACCAAGAGAAAATGCATGTTTTCTGCAGTATGAACCAACAATTTAATTCTATAGCCCAAAACCTTAAGCGTATTCACCATGAGTATGTGAAATCTGCCTATAAACACACAGTAATAACTGTCACGCTTCATGTTTTTAAACAATATACGTAGTTCTTAAGTATACATATTAAACAATAAAGCTGATCTTCCTCATGGGTAAATATGTATATTTGAGAAATATATAATTTTTTCACAACCAGCATCTCTGTTACTTTACATTAAAGGTATCCAAAGGTTATTATTAACTCAGAACCAACAGGGGCCATTATCTGCAGAAACAAACAAAAACATGATACAGTAGCTTCTCGACAGACACGCGAGATGAAAAGAGGAGAAAAGACTCGATGTACATAAAAAAGGTATTTGGGAGTAATATTCAGGTAGTGTACACATCTAGAGCTCCACATCTGAAGTCCACTGCAGTCATCCTTTACATTTGATCTCGGAGTTTGGCGAGTCTTTGAGACAGTTCATCCTTTGGATAAAGAGAGAGCAAAGACGGGCATTAGTGAGGAAGATGAAGACGAGAGGAGAATCAGGGTGATGTGGATAATGCAAATATTGTATTTGTAATGTTTTTGTTTGATAAATACACAGCATCATGAGCAGGGATTGGCTTTAAAGGACCAGGTGTAAGCTTTTGTGGCATCTAATGGTGAAGTTGCAAATTGGAACTAACTGAACACCTGCGGTGTCTGTATTGGATGACCTGGGAATGAGAACGGGCTGTAAAGTGTGTAGGAGAAACTACGGTGGCAGCATAACATGCAAAAGGCCCTGATTGGTTTGTCCATTCTGGGCTACTATAGAAACATGGCGGACTCAGTGGAAAGCGACCCGCAGTGTCTGTAGATAAAAACGGATCATCCTAAGGTAACAAAAACACAACGGTTCTTATATTCAGGTGATTATCCACTAATGAAAACATACCTATGAATATATTATTATATACACTTTACACCTTTAAATGTCTTTGCTGTAGTCACATTACATTAGTCTTTTTATTACACAATCTATGTGATAAACTTTTAATATATATATATAGTTTATGTGTACCACGTCTGCACACGTACCTGTTCTGCAGAGGCCACGCTGGTACCCACTGATCCTGTCTGGCCCTGAGGGAGCTCCATGTTCAGGTCCAATCTAAACATAATGCACACACCAACATTCAATTAACCACCACTATTTACGCTGCAATCTATTGCCTTTACTATAATAATGTATGCCACAAACAGAGAAGGTTAGGACAAAGGTTACCCTGCTTCATCGGCCATTTCATGCAGCAACGAGTCCACTTGATTCTGAAACACACGTTAGATTTACAGTGAATGTGTGTTTCTTTCAAACACACCGTCAGACAAAAAGAAAGAATAAAGAGAAGTGTACCTGTGGTGTTGTGAGTGTTGTTGAGCTGCTCATGGTGTCCTCCATATGCGCTGTCTGAACATCCAGAGTTTCAAACTGGTGCTCAAATTTGTCCATAAGAGCTGAAATCTGAACAAAAAGGGAGTAAGACATTGTATTGTAACTCAGATGAATTTGTTACCAAGTGAAATGACAAAGTTTTTGCTCAAAGGAAACGTGTAAATGTGTAAGTAACACTACCTTTTCCAGATTCATAGACCTAAGCGTGGAGTCCATGCCTTTCACCACTCCAGCCATCGATTTTGTGACCTGAGAAATAAAACACCGTCACTAACATGGAAACCAAAATGACAACAAACGAGCTGCGGCAGCACGCAGTCAGCCCGTATTTAACGCACCTGGTTCATCGTGACGGCAGTTTGGACCCTCGCTGCCACTGCGTCTACCCGAGCGCTCATCCTCAGGAAGTTCACAGACTGGTTCTTCTGTCTGATGGCGTTCTCGGCATGGATCCTCGCCACGTCCGTGTTGCCCTTCTGGATGGCCTAGAGTCGACACAACAACAAAGTGGCTCAGTGAAACTCCTCTGTGCTCGACAGCAGGCTTTTGTGATGTGCAACTCACTTTCTTGACTTTAGCCTTCTCAATTTTCTCCTCTTTGTCACATTTCTTGGAATTTCTTTGGAGTTCTTTGGCGGCCATCTTTAAATTGAAGAGATTTTCTGTATAATGAAGTTAAAGAAGAACAAAGTCCAACACAAAAACAACAAGCAACCTTGGATGACTCACTTTATTGTTCTGCCCATATTTTTGTTTTATATTTAATTACTTGTATGTTAATTATGTGTTTCCTGTTCAAAACACTGGTAAATCAGTTTTAAAGGTGTTACATAAAGACGGTTATTATTATTATTATTATTATTATTATTATTATTGACAACTTTAAAGACAAATTTTGTGAGCAGATAACAGTGGGAGGTCTTGACATTTAGGCATGATGACTCTAAATCCCTGTTGTCATTTTTAATGTAATAATCTCAACTCAGATCCTGTTAATAATTGTTGGAAATACATTTGATCGAGACTATAACACGTATTTACTCAGTTAGTAAACCAACCTTGGCTGTATGTCCCTACTTTCTTTCATTAATGGGGTTTAAAGTTAACAAACACTTTCGTCTACTATTTAAAACTGATACTATAGCCTCAACTGTACTCCTGACCGAGTACATTCACAAACACAGCTTATGTAAGTGCTATTTTTGGAGTTTCCTATTCATTTGACTATGTTTAATGCAGTTCCTGTGATGGCGCTGTGTTACATTTAAAACGATTAACCGGTAAAACGGGTCAAACGTAAAGCCGTGGGTCTAAACCGAGCAGTAATTTACTTTAATTATCCGGAGTAAGATCTCGACTACATGGTAAACTGTAGTTGTTGGGTATTCCCAGCCATTAGCAATGACTCTGGGAAGGCCTTCAGCCCCATCCTTTCACATTTCACGACGCCTGACACCGACTAGGAAATGTCCAGGTTACTGAAGAAGGCAGCACTCGTGCCTTTGGTGAATATCCTTCCCTCGTAGCAATGTCTCAAACGTCTGTCACAAATCAATCTCACCAGTGTCCGCCGTGTTGTTGTGCTCGCTCATAAGCCTTCATGTTGACGTTATCGTTACACCGCAGCCTCACGTCTCTTTCTCACCGATGTGTGTTTTTAAAAAGGATACTCTCCATGTTCGGCATCTGCGGGCGAGTCCTCGAGACCGCAACGACTACACAACCGAATCCTCACGGAGAAGTCCGCAAAAAAAGAAGTAAAACAAAGCAAAACCTGTCGGCGCAACTCGGGTTTCGGTCTTCGCCTTCTTCCCCACTTCCTGGTGTCTGACCAAAATATGAACGACGTCAGCGTCACGTGGCGGCGGTGTTCCACCCGACGTCCCGAGCGAGCTGCCCCCTCCCTTCCCTTATCCTAAAATGTGAATGAAAACTAACCGTTAACTAACCGTTAACAGGAAAAAAAAAAACACACGACCGTTGAACACGTTAATTGAGCCCCACCGCGGCGTCACTGCCGAACGAGCGGACGCAGTCAGATACAAGTGGCCGTGGCGTTGCGCCGGCGGTGAAGGCGGTTGATTGATGATTAGATTTACGGTGTGTGGATCACGGCGGGGAGAGAGGATGACTCACTCCCGTCTGATGTGATGTTCACCCTGCAACGGCTCGGCAGTGCGGTGGCACGCCGGTAGTTCACCCCCACACATCGGTGTGCTCCACCAATAAAAAGTCCAAACTTTATCCAAGTGTTAAGACGCGTTTGGGTGGCGCTCAGATACAGTTTTGTTTCAAACTTGAGCGGCTGTCACTCGGTAGTTAGGGAGAGACCGAGCGTCGTGATTTACCGTAAATTTCGTGACGCCTGATTGCCATGGAAACAGTGCTCCTGCGCTGAGAGGAAACTGTCCGTGTTAACTTCAGCATCAACCTCTCCAACCAACGGGGTCGGATAAACCTGTTGGATAGCTCACTGTTTCTTCTCTCCTGCTCTCTCCTTGTGTTGCTGCTCTGGCTTTACAGTTATTTTTACATTTTAATTTGGCCACAAACCAGGTGAGTTTTTTAAAATTGTGCGGCTGTTGTGTTGTTGTGTCTCGTTTAATTGTGGCAAAACGCAGTTCACCTTACTGCTTTAAACCTTCATGCAAAAATAATAATACTAGCATGTTCATTTACTTAAGACTGGCTGTCAACTTGTGACCTGCGTTTATGTCTTTGACGAGTATATGTGCCATACAATAGAGATGCTGGGCTTATTTTGAACTGGTGATTTAGTTTATATGGACAACACTGTGAGTCCAGAGGACATTATAATGGCTGTAAAACAGCAAAAAACAAAAAGTGGCCTGTGCAAATTATTGTTGGTAATAGGAGTGTTTTAAAATGTCCACCAATCGCCTATATGAGCCTCCAGATCACGACAGTCTATAGGCTGAATAATATAGTCTGTAATGTGCTTTAACCCACTAACCAGGCTTGCTGACTGCACATTTGATGTATTTCACGACCCTGAACGCAACCATAAGTGGTGCATTTTGTGTTTGTGCGCATAGGGGAAATAACCCAGGAGAGCCAACGAGTGATGCTTCATTCAGGGGCTGTATGACTCATATAGTCTTATCTATAAAGAAGCCAAGTGGCAGGAGAGCAGTCCTGCTGCAGGACCGAGCTGATGTAACCCCAGAGATTCACTAGAGGCTGCTGTGGGCCACTGACAGCTTTAACACGGACACTGTGCACTCAGCAGATGATCAAAGGCTGTTTACAGTGCAGCACATGACCAAAACAATGCACATTTACACTGCACATTGTTATTTTGTGTTTACGTTAAGCTTTAGTCACTCTAAAGCTGAGTTCAGTTTGATTTATTACATGTTTATTAAGGCATTGTATTCTATATTGATCTGTATACTATATATAATAATAATAATAATAATAATAATTTAAAAATATATATTAATACACATTACTTGGTAACAATTGCTGATTTAGTCATAAGTGTATTATAATATAATAGGAGTCACCTTTGACCTTATTCACAAAATAAGTGAGTATAATAATAATAATAATAATAATGTTGATGACCTGAAAATTGGTACATCTCCAACTTTAAAAGGTTTTTAAAAAATGTACTGATTCATGTGTCTTCAACTCAAATATTACATTTCATACACAGCTGTCTTGATTTTAATTAAATTAGGGAAAAAAATATTTTCTGTTATGGCGGAGTGGCAGAGAAAGAAATAGCTGCACAACCAGTGGTAAAAATGAGTAAAATATTCCATGTTTATATATATATAAATATATATATAGCTACATACACAATGTGTACTGTAGTGTTTTTGGTTTTGGTTTTTTCTCATGTTAAAGTTTAATCTCCTCCTCTTTAGAAATCCATATATGTTTTATCACACTGTGCTGATACGGACTAAAGCGTAAATGCAAAACATTAAAGAAATCTAAAAGTAGATCATTAAAGCCCTTTATAACAAGTTGAGTTTATTGCATGCAGCATACGGGATGATGAGAGCATTCATCTTTTCAAAAACACCCTGAGGATCCTTAACTAACTCCTGAACCCTGAAGGCATCTGAGAGTATGAAGCTTTGCCTCAGTAGTGAGTCAGCGTACTGTACGTTATATTGTCACATCATAACAGCAGGAATAAAAACATTATCAATCAACAGCGTTCTGTTTATTACCAACATTACGCAGTCTGGCGGATAACCACAGCATTATATGCCTTGTTTGGTATGACAAGCTTAGATTCAGCACTGTTACACATACCGTACAGCCTGTCCCTTATAGATTATCCACCTGATTGTCCCTGCCGCTGACAGCCAGTGAATGAAAGACAGGTGAGTCAACTGTAGGCAGCAGACGGGCACATGATCATGGAGGAATTTCAACATGACGACAACTCAGTGTTTATCTCGTGTGACTAACGACTGGTGACGTTCATAATAACACTGGAACGTATTGAACAGAAAAAAAAGTCCCAACTCCCTTTTCAAAACTCAATGCATTGTGGGAGGGGTTGTGAAGTAGGCACATTCATCTTGTTTTACAGCTCAATCAATCACATCTGTTGTCTGGTTGAGATTGATTGAAGCAAATATCTGTTATTAAAACAATATTGGAGAATATTCTGATGTGATCTGTTTAAAAATGTTACTGTGCATCAGCTTATGTTCAAGCACTTGCTATGCCATTCAGTTGACTTTGCCATATGTTATGATACTGTTGCCACCTAGTGGTAGCACAGAGCCCTCCCCAGTCCTCTCTGCTCACCTGTGTGTGTCCCTTTATGCTAAATGTCGAAGACAATGAATAGCACAAACAATCAGAAAGGGGAACGAGGGTGAAAACATCTCTCTTTGGCAGTTATTCATATCTGTTAACTGCTCTGCACAAGGTGCACTCGAGACTTAGAGGAGCAGAGGAAAACAAAACAGCAAATGCTTTGCTCTTTGAAGGCCTGGACTAAAAATATTCTCAAGGATAAGTTTGTAGGTGCTACAATGATACAGACAATGTGTAAAGAAAAAAAAACTTTTTCTGTGCATTTGAAAAGGGCATGCACAGGAGACGAAAGGGCAAGGATAGAGCATTATTTTATTCTGAGAGCAAACAGTTTTTTATATTACAGTATGTTTTCTGCCTCAATCTTTCATTAGCCATCATGTGATATGTCAGCCCTCTATTTCACAGGTAAGGATGATGGAGCTTCAATCGGAGAAGAGGTTCCACAACCTAACCCTCGAGCAAGTCCAAGCTCTGGACAAGGTCCTGACTGAGGTAATCCCCATCCATGGACGAGGAAACTTTCCCACACTGCAGGTGAGAGCGAAAGACATCATTCGTGTGGTGAAGGACCGGCTGGTCGAAAGAGACATCCAGGTGAAAGATATACGGCTGAATGGCGCGACTGCCAGCCACGTCCTGGTGAGGGATAACGGCCTGGGCTATAAAGACTTAGACATCATTTTCGGAGTGGAGCTGCCCAGGCAGGAGGACCTCCAAGTGATTAAGGAGGTGGTGCTGGGTAGCCTCCGAGACCTCCTACCTTGTGGAGTTAACAGACGCAAGATCACCTGCCTGACAATGAAGGAGGCCTACGTGCAAAAGATGGTGAAAGTCTTCAACGAGCATGACCGATGGAGCCTCATCTCGCTCTCCAACAACAGAGCCAAGACCGTGGGGCTCAGATTCGTCAGTTCCCTTCGGAGACAGTTTGAGTTCAGCGTGGATTCCTTCCAGATAATATTAGATCGCATGCTGGAGTCTTACTGGGAGACTGAAAGGAAGCAAGGAGGAAAGTTGGCATTGAATGCTGGGAATTTGCCTAAAAGAGACAACGAGGATGAAAACAAAGAGCAGGAGCAACCGAGCATTCCTCGGGATGCTGCAGCAGACATGGAAAAAGACTCCGCAATGGCAACCGGCCGAGAAAGTCGGTGCCAGGATGAAGCAGGTTCTGTGCCTGAGAAGGAGCTTCCACATGCAGAAGCTGAGCATGTAGGTGGAAAGCATGAGGCACAGGAGGTGTTAGAAGCTGAGAGCATTAACTTACAGCAAGAGGAAGAGGAAGCGGATGGCATAGAGGATGTTCATTCAGAGGAGGACATTGTGTTTGTTGAGCTATGTGGAGGAAATGGAGAAGAGAAAGGACAGTTCCACAGTGATTATCCTTTAGTTTCAACCCCTAAAACTTTATTTACAGATGTCAGGGATCCGCTGATGACGCATGCATGTTTGAAGCTACAGAGTAATGAAGAGCTATCTGGGTCACAGGTTTCCCAGCCAGCATCTGTAACGCTTACAGAAAAGTCAGCGCCACAGGAAAAAGTCCATTGTGAAGAAATACCTCAGTTCAAAGTAGACTCTGTAATCTGCAGGACTGAGAATACCTCGAGCCTACAAGACTCACATCTCGAATTTTCCTTTCCTCCTCCAGCTAAGAAAACGTGCAGCACATCACAGGACATTGTACCGGACTACTGCCCCTCACCAAAGTTACAAAGAAAGATGTCCCGAAAGATGATCAGTAAGCCTGAGAAATGGTCATTACTGACTGATTTGTCAGACCTCACAACACAGCTCTTCCCACCCATAGAAATACCTAAACCACTTCAGCCAAAGCCTCCCTCGCAGGACAGCGCTCAAGTTCATTGTTCAAATGTTCCAGCCTCCAAGCCGGAGACCTTAGACACGCTCACAGTTCCCACATACAGTCCAGCCAGTACGCTTCAGGACAGGACTGGGACGAGTGAAACTGTGGAACGAAGTGTTAAGCCAAAGCACTCGAAGAAGCCTCCTGATTCGGACACTCAAAGCCGCACATGTGCAGCCAACGTGGCCTCACAGCCTCAGATCAGCAAGCAAACACCTGAGCTGGCAGACACAGTCCCAAAAGGCTGCAGGGCGAGCTCCTGGGCCGGGGCAGCAGAGGAGCCCACCATCACTGTCGAAGCAGAGTGCATGTACGGAGACTTTGAACAGGCAATGGACCACCTCCGCCACCGCCTCATCGCCACCCGCAACCCGGAGGAGATTCGAGGAGGGGGCCTGCTGAAATACAGCGACCTGCTGGTGAGGAACTTCAGACCAGCCAGCGAGACAGAGATCAAGTCCTTGGAGCGATACATGTGCTCCCGCTTCTTCATCGACTTTCCAGACGTGAGCGAGCAGCAGCGGAAGATTGAGGCCTATTTGCAGTGCCACTACATCGGCAACGAGGAGGCGAGCAAGTACGACTACCTGATGACCCTGCGGCGCGTGATAGATGAAAGCACGGTGTGTTTGATGGGACACGAGAGGAGACAGACCCTCAACATGATCACTGTCCTGGCTCTGAGGGTTCTGGGCGAGCAGAACGCCATCCCCAACACGGCCAACGTCACCTGTTTCTATCAGCCCGCCCCGTACATGACAGAGCCAATCTACAGCAGCTACTTCATCACCCAGGCCCAGCCCCCACTCGTCTACCACCCCTACCCGCTACATGTCCACATGCAGACTGGCCTGGTGTAGCTACAGTGACATGCCCACGGGGAGGCATGTAGGCTGCTTTCAGCATGGTGCTCTGCAAGCAGAGGCACAAATGGAAGTTTTACCAAAACAACAGGCAACCACGGGCGCAGTGTTGTTTAATGCTTTGAAATCCCTCCTGCTTATGACATGAAAGATGATGAAAGGTCAGAACTGAAAGGGGTCTGGAGGAAAAGCATGTCACCCTTTCAAGATGAACACTTTTGAAAAGGAAAGAAAACGCCAAGAGCCCACATTGGAGAGAGCTCTCAGAGAGGATTTCATTGAAGTGGAGGGACTTTGTTTACGGCTGTTTCGGCTCAGTTTTGGCTCTGTACTGGTCACCTTCCCCCGTTGAGGAGAATGTAATGTGATAATTCTCTGTGGCTAGAAGATAAACTTCTTTAACATATAAAAACATAATCTATAGAACATAAACATCTTGGTTTGGTTGAAGTTTGAATAATAACACATTCTTACCATTTCTGAAAACCCTGTACAGCTGTTTTGTGAATCATCAGTCTCTGTGGAGTAAATTTCAGCACGTCTGTACGGCTGTACCTGTGTTTTCACTGTATAGAAATAGGACACCTTTCACTGAGGGCATACATTAGACTAAATTTGCTGTGGTGTTTCCATGATATTGTAAGTTCTGTATTTGTGAATGTAAACACCTGATTTCAAAGGTAGAAACGAGAGATCGAAGCTCTGAAAACGTATCTTAAGTATTTCTCTACACATTGGTGGGGGAAAAAAAACAACCTCTTTATTGTTTATTTTTATTTTTAACACTCTAAAACTCAGCTAATCAGGACTGTGTGGCTTTGGTTCAGTCAGATTTTATTGACAGTGGCTGGGCATCATGAGCAAACAACCCACCAACTCTCAACAGATTTTGATTCAAAAACAGAAATCTTTCGTGTGAAATAACCAAAACTGTTCTGTAAAACTGTAAAAATAGCAAATGTTTTCGGGGCCTTTAATGTTTTCTTTGAATATTAAAAGCGTATTTATGTAACTCTGAACTACGCTGTTAAAAAAAGCTGAGCCCCAATCATTTTCCTACGGTCCCTTAGAATATTAAACCAAGCTCAGAGTGGCTCTGATCCCAATTAGTGACAGAGTTTATGGTCTTCATTTCAAATCATTTTTGGCAAAGTGATAGAAGTTATAAACCAGGAGCTGTGGCCATATCACCCTGAATTCACCCTGCATTTTATCAAATCAATCTTCCTACTCCGTGTCAGAGAAACAGCACAAGGATTCGCCTCCTGGTAGCATTAAGAAGAAGAGTGAACAGCTGAAAACACGGAGAGCAGGTTGAATTCTGTTTTTTTACCCCTCAAATTTCCACCTTCAACCGGTTGAACAGACTTCCTGTGTGTATTACATGGTGACCGTTGTTTGTTGTAGTGGGCGTAGTGAATGTCCGTCCTGTCGGGGTTTTGCCTACCATTGTGAGCAAAAATTTTACTGCACATTTAAATGATTCAGTCCACGATGCAGCCAGCTGTTATTGCACTCTGTCCCTGTGTGTTTGTTCATTGTGTATGCATAGCTACAGTACATGTACTCAGTATTTAAAAAAAAGACAATTAAAGCACAGGACAGGATATGTGGGCTGTTTAAACTAAATCTGAGACTGAAGCACAATGTAAATGCACATAGCTGTTGTTGAGTAATAAAGGTGTTTCTGACATGCTTGTGAATCTCCAACTAAATATTGAAGACATCTAAAATACTGTATGCTGTGTAGCTTTAAAGTGATGTATCTATCTAGAGACTTTGGGTATGTTGTGTACTGTTAAGGATCTGTTTCACCAGTAGAGAAGTTAAAATATTCCTGTTATGATATTTAGTTGCTCAGATTGTTGTGTTATTGTGGTAATAAATATAACACAACCACTCTTTGTCTTGAGTCTTCCATTGGTGGCCTGAGTTACACTGTTTTATTTTCATTAAGCTGCAAGGTCGTTTGTGTGATAGGTAATTGTCTTTGCGTGTATTTTCAATTAAATGATGGTGTATAATCGCCTCTTCAGGGTTACCTTGAACAGCTAGATTGTATCTTGTGGTTTCTTGGTGCCACGGCAACATTGTTGGCATGCAAAGTCCACAAACCTTTTTACGGACATCTTTGCAGCACTCAGATAAATACTTAAGAAATCTGTTTATACACATGCATGACCTAAGGCAGTGTTTAGATTACTGTTTTTAACAGTATTATTCATTTATTTGAGTGGTTGAAATTTAAGTCAGTTTTAAAAAATAGCAGTTTTTCCAATTTCATACTAACTCCTGTAAATGCATCAGAAGTTCACTTTCTGTCAGGCCAGTTTGGAGCATGTGGTTGTGAAAAGCTGCTGTTCAGTATAGTTAGGAATGATCATAAACCTTTTACCCATACCCAAGTTAAATACATTTATTTACAAAATAAAGCAAGTGAGTAAGAAATACAGCAATAGCCTGTCGTTGGTTAAAGTAGTTTTAGTCTTGGGAGGAAAAGAAATGTTTGCACTTTTCCAGCTTCATTCATTGCAAAACCTACAAAGCCCACGCCCACCCTCCTGCTGGTCCTCCTCTAAACTACTGACGTACTGTAAGAATATTTTGTTATATATCTTATATGCCGAGGCGCTTGAAATATTGTGTAGACTGAAAAAAGAAGAGTACATATACATCCCAAGCCTCAGCTTCAACTCTGGTACATTTGCACAGAAATGCTGCATTATTTAGAGAACTGTCTATCAGGAGTGAAAGTTCAGCCTTTAGTCCTTAAATGCTTTATACAGAATATAGACACTTTTCCAGCAAAACACTGTCTGGGTATTCCACTTCTGGTGCCCCCTGATGAAAAACACCAGCATCACTGGTCTGTTGCTACATTTATTCATAAAGACAGCTCACCCAATCTTTACCTGACCATATGTTCTGCCCTTATCCAGAAACTGACCATCTGCACACACTACTGTGAAAACTCAGGCTTTTAAATATTAGTATAGTGGTACATTAGTCACCTACTCTTCATTTGTTCTCACCGCACTTTGCTCTGTCCCCTTAGCACCCTTTAAACTGACCTTTACCTCTTTATGGATTGATCCCTTTTAATTCCCATGATCCTCCAGCATCTCTGCAGTTTCTAGGTGTGGCAGAGCACTGTGCGTCACAGCTCAACCTTGTTTGTTCCTCGTCTGACTCACCCCAGCTTTCAGTGCATTGATGCAGTTAGGCAGTTGCAAACGGTACAGTCGGGTTTATGACCGTCTACCACGATCGATAAACAGTCCCAGTGTTCTTTAACTCATGAATCTTTGCCTTTGGTGCATGTTTATGACCCTTGCTTATAACACTCACAGCCCTTTAAAGCTTGTGCTACCTGAACACCAGCAGACATCATAGAAGCATCAAATTAACACATACATTTGGAGAAAACCAATTTTTTATTAAAAAAAAGAAACACATACAATCAAAACATTTTGTATAAAAGACAGTCACATATTCCACCTACAGTAGAATGTTATTGTTGTATTTGTCATCAACTAATCTGACGCTTCGAAGGCGAGACTAAGAGCCATCTACTATATGAAAATAAGATTCTAAAATACGAATCTTATTCTTCTTACACTCAACCAGAATCATTTCTAGACGCCAGTTAATGCTGCCGCTCGGAGCACCCTTGATGCCGATTTGTGTGTTTGATCACTGAGACCCCGACACTAACCAAACTCTTCAGCCCAAAAAAGAAAAAGAGAAAACAAAACAAAACAAACCTCCGAGGCCTCTCTCTCATGCTTCTGACCACACAGAGGCAGAGTAATGAGGAGGTGGGTTTGGATTAGAGCACCCAGTGTTGAAATGAGAATTTCAGAGTCAGCTTTCCTGGTTTCTCATGACTGACTCATAGCAAATCGACAACTGCACAAGCTTTAAAGTAAACAATGTTGGTGCAACAGGAGGCATCCATTTTGATGCAGTTCCACAGGGGGATTTTGGAAACACTGCCAGGAATCACTCTTTCTAAAAACTAGGCAGAAAAACTAGACTAGCGATTCTGATTGTAATAGATTATGGGGGGAAAAAGCAATCGTGTGCGCAGTTGATTCACCCAAAAACCAGTCCATAGGTGGTTAGAAACAAGGGGGGAGAGATGGAACAACATATTAATGAAGGGATAATCCGTGGTTGCTACGTTTGCTTCAGGCCATTAGAAAGCATGATTTAGATTGCCAACAAGACCTTCAGCTTCATCATACACAGGCTGAAACATATTCAAGCTAAAAATGATTTAAAACAAAAGACTGAATAAATGTGTGCTGGGACAGTTTAAACATTCTAACACAAAAATCATCAATCCCACCTTATTTCTCTTTCTCCAATATCTTTATTACTCAGCTGCCAAGTGGAGTAGATAAATGTGCAAATATTTCCTTTTCCTCATCACTATTAATGTACGAAATAGCTAAAGAAACCCAAGTATAATACAATGGAAAAATAAATATTTCTGTGGAAGAGAGTAGGCCAAAGGACCCCTTTGCTTTTGCACATGCTGGGAGGAGAAGGTGTGATGGAAGCAACCATGAATGGATGCAAGTCTGATCCATCAGGTACAACAGTAAAAATACAAACAGGATGCAGTGGTGTTTTTACCCAAGGAAAAAAAATTAAATAAATCAGCTTTACTCTTAAAAAGCACCCAATTCTAACCAAACACCAGAATCAAAGAGCTGAAAAACAGTCACCACCACTGAAGGGGAAGCAGGGAACACATTTAACATTCACAGGCCAAGGACATCAAGTTGTCCGACGGGGGGTTTAGGAGCTGAGATACTACCATGGTACTGTATTTTAATGACTTAAGTCACTCTGATTCCTCAGTATTGCTAGTGCCCAAACTACACTTTGTCTCGACTCCAGCCACAGATCACGCACAAAACCTGACTGATGTGAGCTCTGAAAACTAAGGCTTGTGGTTGTGAGGAAAGACCGAGTACCAAAAAAAGTTGACATCAGTAACTTTGTAGTGATACTGCACGCGTTCCACGGTGGTCATGACTGAACCTTTGACCACTAGCACGAATAGTTTTGTTAAATTACTTGTCAAGAAAAGTCAACAAAATGGAGAAATATAATGAGCACCATTTTTTTGGCATCTCCACATCCTTCTTTGGTGACCAGGAGTAAGAATAGTTGTGGGAGGGACGAGAGGAGTAGAAAGGAGGGGTATAGTGTTTAGTCCTGGACGTGAAATGCACAGGACGACGAGGAGAGCAGTGCCGTGTTTCGAAGGCTCCTCCAGCGAGCGGTAAGGCCGAGGTGAGTTAGTCCAGTTGGAGAGGGTCCGTGTTGAACAAATAGCTCTGTCGACCAAGGAAAGAAAACTCCTTGGCAAAACATCAAGAGCACCTATCAGTTTGAGTCAAAGCAGTCTCAGATAAAAAGAAAAATCATATATATATATTCATATATATATATATTATATATACACTTGTACAAAAAGAAAGAAAAAATCCCTGAAGTATTACTCATGTTGAACAGT